ACGTTAAGATAGGATTTTGTGCAATGTATTTTTGTAAATGCTTTTCAACATGTCTTGTTCTTTGCTGCTTCTAAACTGTGACGAGATGCTATCAAAATGTTTAAATAAAGAGTTTTAATTTTTGAAAGTGCATGTACTCTTTGGAGAAGAAATAAAACTGTTTTGCTGTAGTTTTGGTCACTGGATGAACCGAGGCCATGACGGGGTTGTAACATTGAAGGAATGCCCCTGGCTCGTTTCCCAGTACAGTGTGGCCTCTTCCTTCTGATACCCCCCTATCCGCTGGAGCATGTTGGGGCGAGGAGTGGGGTGTCCCCACGGCCTCCCCGCCCCTGCTTTCCCTGCAGTGTTTCCTTCGGTGTCCCTGGCGCTGCCTGGCACACGCCGAAGTGGGTGAAGCGAAGCCCGGGCTGGCCGCTGCCGGACGCTTTGCAGGTGCGGGCCTTTTCCAGCCGCTGGGGTTGCGCTGTTGGTGTGTCAGCGCCGTGCCAACGGCCTTGCCCGTGCCGGAAGGCGGCGGCAGGAACCGGGCGGCGTTCAGCGCATGGAGGGGAAGCTGCGCGCCAGCCTCGGGAAGGGAGGGCGCCCGTTAACGAGGCGCACCAGATGTACCGGACGCCATTGCTCAGCTAGGGCCCGGCCCAAGCCCTGCCCCTGCCCCGCGCGGCCTGGCGGAGCCTTGCCCTGCACTCGGCCCCGCTGCTGCCCGCCATTGGCTGCCGCTTCTGCCCATCTCCGTGTGCTGAGCTCTCATTGGGTCGTGGGGGCCGGGCTGGGCGGGTACGTGCCGGGGGGTCGGGTGAGCGTGCAGGGCTTTGAGGTTTGGGGAGGTGTATGAGCGGCGCTCCTGTCGGTGAGACATAGGTAGGAAGAGGGTTTCCTTGTAGGTAAAAAGATGAATTCGGGCACTGAAACTTGTTTGGAAACGCACTGAGGCCAAAGAGTAGTTCTGGGCAGTCTTGTCTGTCCTCCATCAAACGTGTGTGCAATGTCAGCGTTGTCCCCAGGCACGTAAACGTGGTCGAGGTGATCCCGGTTGTGGATTGTTAACTGGGACAGGCAGTGCTCACTCGCTTTAAACAACGCCGGCCTGTAAAACACTGCTGTTCTCTCATGAGCTGGTGTTAAACCTGAAATCCTGACTCAGAGCTTCAAAAGTCATGAATGCAGATGTACTTGAGGGTGGAGAAGGAAAGAAGCCTGTCTCCTGTAGACCTCCTATCCCTGCCTGTGATCCACGGAGTGGGTGGGAAACTGCGCTTCCTGCCTGACCAGCACCAGTGAGCGAGTCTCGTTCCTGGGCTTGTGCTGTAACTGTACAGGCTGCCGGGTTGAACTGTTCTCCAGGGCTGGATGCAGGATTGCAGGTGGGGGTCTCACGAGAGCGGAGTAGAGGGAGAGAATCCTTTCCCTCTACCTGATGCTCACACTGCTGGGGATGCAGTCCAGCCCTCGGGGGTTTCTGGGCTGCAAGTGCATACTGCCGGCTGGTGTTGGAGCAAGAGAAGGAATGCATTCAGGGGCTTTGCTGTTCTACAGCCATAACTGGGTAAGTCATGACTGGTTTTGTGTGCGTGGTTTGGGGCAGGCGGGGGTGTTATTCCAAGATTGTGAGGGATGAATGGTGAATTATCAGTGGTAGGTGTGATGCGCGGATTGACTCCACAACTCGTTAAAGTTGTAAAGTAGGTATGCTTTTTATTCAGCGCTGAGACGCACGGGGATAATTCCTCAAAGTCATGCGTGCCTCAGTGTTGTTTCCCTCTACATTTATAAGGTTGCACCATACGCCTATACATATTCATGTCCTATCCCCGCTTCGTATTACAGTGAGCTAGAAGGTCCTTTGCGCCTGCGCAGTGCCCCCTCTGGTCATGGGCAGGGGTCTCAAGATGAAGTAAATGAGTCTTCCTCCTGTGGGTAGGGGTCTTCAAGATGAAGTAAATGAGTCTTCCTCTTCTTGAACTTTTCACCTTTTAGTCTTCACGTATGGCCTTAGGGTTTGGTCCCAGCCATCAACCATCTGCTTCTCCCCCTTAACAGTAGATTCAGGGGTCTGCTTTTCCCTATCAGTAGGTGCTTATCAGTAGAATCAGGTGTCTGCTTTTCCTTGTCAATAGAACCAGGTGCCTGTTTTTCCGTATCAATAGCTAGTGCTTTTGTTCTGCTTAGTAGGCATGATAGGTACAGACAATACCTTTGCTTAAGCAATCGAATTCCTCCAACCCCGCTGTACACCCCCCCCTGTACATTGGTCAACCCTCTGCATCAGGTGTTTGGGGTGATTGCTTTGTAATCTTTTAGTTTATCTCTTTGTTGAGCCTTTCTGCTCAAAGAAGGATTATGCCAAACTGGAACATAAAGCAGAAGTGTTTGTGAGCATCCAAACATTAATCGTAACCACGTTTGGTTTCCTTTCCTGAAGGCTCAGCTTTTGGCTGTGAAGGAGTTAGGTCAGTATTGCTGGCTGATAGATACGGGACTTGACTGGGTGTAGAAGTGGCTCGAGTTCAAAATCGCCCTTTTTTTAAGGTGGCTTTTGGAGGTTGTTAAGGGACCTTAAAGACACAGTAGCACTAGGACGTAAATGTCATGTCTTAAAGATGCATTAGAGGTAGCAGTTCATCCTATTTCTATTAATAGTAAATATTTGTTAATCTTACTGCTGCCAGAAAACTTGGCTAATTTGGTCAGCTTAATTGGATGCAAATTCTCCCAAAAGAGTGGCTCTTGCACCCAGAGCACTAAAGTGGTCTAGTGGGGGATCAGGAAAAATGGGACACCCCAAACTGCACCAGTTGCTAGCAATTACCCTGTGGAAAGGTAAGCAAAATCAACTGGCTGTTCTGTGTTTTGTTTTGAAAATATTGCAAGTGTGACACTCTAAGAGATCTACTTTGGAAATAATCTAAGGAAGCTGAGATGGAAATGACTGATTGAGTTCTGCTGTTACCTGATTTTAGCAGTCACATCAGCATAATGTCAGAGGCATTCGATCGGCTACTGCACTGCCAGTTAAAAACTTAGTTTATTGATGGAATTTGGTGCCGAAGCAGTCAAGGTCTGCTCCAGGGGAAACTGAACAGAGGTTTCTCTAACTGGTGATTTCAAAATCTTTCTGCTGGGATTAATCAATTGAAACAGATCAACCTTAACCGTAGGTTTGAATTTCTGTAGGCATCTATCCCACAAATCTGTTTTGCTGCTGTTTAAAGCAAGTGTTTTCTGATGTTACCAACATCCCTCATCTTGACATTCGCTGCATTCCCACTTTTATTACCGGGGAATCATTGCTTTCTTTCTGGTCCCTGTTTCTTAAGTTCTCAGATGAGCTCTTACTTGTTAAAGCGTGGCAGCAGTTGTTATGTATTATCCCTAAAGCTGCAATACATTTCAAAGGCTCTGGGGAAAGTTTTACAAGTGTTGGTTGGGTGGTTTTAGAATTGGATGGCACCATGCAAAATGTGCCTAATTGTAACCATGGGAGTCACTTTGCAGTTGGCTCTTCTGATGGGACGTGTATTCAGTGTGGGGTTTGTGACAGGAATAAATTAACCCATAGAAAATCGTAGAATCATAGAATAGTTAGGGTTGGAAAGGACCTTAAGATCATCAAGTTCCAACCCCCCTGCCATGGGCAGGGATTATTACAGACTGATGTGAAATGAAGGGGAGTGAAGCACAGAATCAGACTTGGCAACTCAAGGAGAGTTATAAAGCAGGTATGTTTATTACAGGCCTGAGTGCAAGGGGGATCACCCCTCCTAACTTGTACACCGAGGGGTTAAGCAGGCAGATATTTATTACACACAAACATGCATATTCATTAGGTTCCCAGGAGAGCAGCAGGCTATTACAGTTAGTTTAGGAACTCATTATCATAAGTCTCATCCCTTTTAGGGCTTACGCACTGCCCTCAGACAGTCATGGGCAGGGGTCTTCAAGATGAAGTAAGCGGTCTTCCTCACAGTGTACTTTTCACCTTTGGCACAGTGGGATGCCCCAGTAATCATAAAACTAGCTGAAATCAGGCAGATCTGTAATTTTCTGATAACTGGCAAAGATTTAGAACAGTGCGACTTTTGTACAAAATCTACTGCAAGCAAAACAGGATGGGCAGACAAGTAGTATCCTAAGCTAGGGGATGTTTGGGAGGCACAGTCTCCAAGCTAACTGATAATTAGGATGGTAAGAAATAATTCACTCATGTTAGTAAGACTACTAAATTCTGTTATCACACTACAGACCTACAACACAAGCATTGTTCTCTATCTTAGACCTAAATTAAGTTAAAAGTATCTTAACCCTATGTTTTCCAGGCAGTTGCTTTCCGTATATCAGGAATCCCTTGCTGCTTAGTGGATGGTGTTCAAAGGTAGTGGAGTAAAATGATTTGACTCTTAAAACCTTTCTCAGGTTCCTTCTGTGTTAGGCTTTGGTGCGCAGCCCAGCCCATGCTTTGCTTTCAAAGCAAAAGTCATTGCAAAGAGATCTCTGAAAGCCTGGCTACATGGGGTTTTTAGTTTTCAAGCTTAGTTTTTTTGGGTGCTGCATGACTCAGTTCCTATGGAAGCACTGTAGGATAGTTGTGATATGAGCTTGGCTCATATAACAGTAATGTTCCTGAGAACTTGGAAATTGCAGAAAACAGCATCATAAAGAAAGTTGTGCTCACAAATACACTGTGCTTCATGCAATGCTGAGAAAGGATCTCCAGCCCCAGCAGCAATACTGCTGAAATGCTGAGCACTCCATAGTTCTGGTAACAGTAGCTGCTTTACTTCAGTACTTGCAAACACAGGCTGAACAGTGCAAGGGCTCTTACATTGGATTCATGTAATTTTACGTCATTGCATTACTTTTTTTTTCCACCTTTTACATTATGATTTGAAACAGTCAACATGGACTTTCCACATCTACACACATAAACTCCTCCTTGGTGTCTGCCAGTGAACACCTATACACATGCACTCAGGTGAGAATTCTTCTTGTAGAGGAACTGCATGCTCATGAATTGAAATGGGGAGCAGTACAGAAAATGCTTTATCAAGGCTTTTCTTGCAGCATTGCTTGTTGCCTCCTGTGAATGTTCATGTTTTCAATTGGTTGTACCAGGCACCTAACTCTGGTTTGTTGTTTTGCTGTTTCCTTTCCCAGGAGAATGGTCAAAATGCATTCCAAATACTGGAACTGAGAGTTCTTTCCAACTGGGGAAATGAAGAGTATATGTGCCTTTATAGATTCCGAGTGCACAGGAATGTTGCCCAGGGGTCTCCTGCACTACATCTGTTTTCATATAAAAGGCTACGCAGTGAAGATCAAAATTCTCTTCTTTATTAGCAATTAGGTAGCAAACAGAGGAATATTTAGAAAAAACATTAAAAAACCCAGATTTTGTGCAGTGTATTTTTTAAATGCTTTTCAATGTGGCTGTTATTTGCTGCTTCTAAACTGTGACAAGATGCTGTCGTGATGTTTAAATAGTTTTAATTTTTTAAAGTTCATGTACTCTTTGAACAGGAAATAAAGCCGTTTTGCTGTAGTTTTGGTAACTGGCTGAACCGAGGTTATGAGGTGTTTTATCACCTCTGTGCCTGGCAAAATCTTGGAGCAGATTCTCCTGGAAGGCATGCTAAGGCACATGAAAATCAACAAGGTGCTTGGTGACAGCCAGCATGGCTTCACTAAGGGGAAATCCTGCCTGACCAATTTGGTGGCCTTCTATGATGGGGCTACAGAACTGATGGACAGCGGTAGAGCAGCTGATGTCATCTACCTGGACTTGTGTAAAGCGTTCGACACTGTCCCACACGACATCCTTGTCTCTAAATTGGAGAGACATCAATTTGATGGATGGACCACTCGGTGGATAAAGAACTGGCTGGATGGCTGCACACAAAGAGTTGTGTTCAATGGCTCAATGTCCGGCTGGAGACCAGTAACGAGTGGTGTCCCTCAGGGATCGCTGTTGGGACCGGTCTTGTTCAACATCTTCATCGCTGACATGGACAGTGGGATTGAGTGCGCCCTCAGCAAGTTTGCCGATGACACCAAGCTGTGTGGTTCGGTTGATTCGCTGGAGGGAAGGAATGCCATCCAGAGGGACCTTTACACACTTGTGAGGTGGGCTGATACCAACCTCATGAAGTTTAACCATGCCAAGTGCAAGGTCCTACACCTGGGTCAGAGCAATCCCAGGCACAGCTACAGGCTGGGCAGAGAAGAGATTCAGAGCAGCCCTGTGGAGAAGGACTTGGGGGTGTTGGTCAATGAGAAAATGAACATGAGTTGGCTTCAGTGTGCGCTTGCAGCCCAGAAAGCCAACCGTATCCTGGGCTGCATCAAAAGGAGCGTGACCAGCAGATCGAAGGAGGTGATCCTGCCCCTCTACTCTGCTCTGCTGAGACCTCACTTGGAGTATTGTGTGCAGTTCTGGTGTCCTCAACATAAAAAGGACATGGATCTGTTGGAACAAGTCCAGAGGAGGGCCACGAGGATGATCAGGGGCTGGAGCACCTCCTGTATGAAGATTGGCTGAGAAAGTTGGGGCTGTTCAGCCTGGAGAAGAGAAGCTGCGTGGAGACCTCATAGCAGCCTTCCAGTGTCTGAAGGGGGCCTATAGGGATGCTGGGGAGGCACTGTTCATTAGAGACTGTTGTGATAGGACAAGGGGTAATGGGTTAAAACTTAAACGGGAAGTTTAGATTGGATATACGGAGGAAATTCTTTCCTGTGAGGGTGCTGAGGCACTGGAATGGGTTGCCCAGGGAAGCTGTGAATGCTCCATCCCTGGCGGTGTTCAAGGCCAGGTTGGACAGAGCCTTGGGTGCCATGGTTTAGTGTGAGGTGACCCTGCCCATGGCAGGGGCTTTAGAACTAGATGATCTTAAGGTCCTTTCCAACCCTAACTGTTCTATGATTCTATGGAGTGTTTTGGGGCAACGAGTGGGGTGTCCCCACGGTCTCCCAGCCCCTGTTTTTCCTGCAGCGTTTCCTTCGGTGTCCCTGGCGCTGCCTGGCACACGCTGAACTGAGTCAAGCAAAGCCCGGGCTGGTCGTTGCCAGACGCTTTGCACATGCAGGCAGATTTCAACCGCTGACGGTTCCTCCGTTGTTGTGTCAGCGCCATGCCAGCGCCCTTGCCCGTGTCCCTGCGATCGGGTGCACTGGCTCGGGTTCCTTGCCTGCGATCTACCCGTCCTTCCCGGCCCACATTCCCGGGGCTGTGGCACTGGGCTCAACCCCTGGCAGCTGCCGCAGCCTCACTGCCCTTCCGCGGCCCCGCGCAGCCTCCGAAGCCTCTCGGGCCGCCGTCAGAGCGGGCGGAAGCCGGGCAGCGAGGCGGGTGCCGGTCCGGGGCTGCGCGCCACTGCGCAAGCTCTCCCCCTGCCCCTCCTCCGCGGTGATGGCGGCGGCGATGATGGCGGCGGAGCAGGAAGCCGCTAAAGGCGGCGGCAGGAACCGCGGCGGCGTTCAGCGCGTGGAGGGGAAGCTGCGCGCCAGCGTCGAGAAGGGCGACTATTACGAGGCGCACCAGATGTACCGGACGCTCTTGTTCAGGTAGGGCCCGGCCCGAGCCCTGCCCCTGTCCCGCGCGGCCTTGCGGAGCCTTCCCACGCACTCGGCCCTGCTGCTGCCCGCCATTGGCCGCCGCTTCTGTCCATCTGCGTGTGCTGCGCTCTCATTGGGTCGTGGGGGGGCGGGGTGGGGCGGGTACGTGCCGTGGGGGGTCGGGTGAGCGGGGCCGGCCCAAGCAGGGACCGGGCTTGGCCTGGGGGAAGCGGCCGCGGGTCGCGGCCCTTCCCACCTTATCCCCCGCCGCCGCTGTGTGTTCTCGGTGGCGCTGTGGGGGCCGCTGCTCCCCGGGGTTTGAAGGTGAACTCTGCTGACGCCGCCGGGCCTACCCCGACCCGTTCCCGGCGGTTGCTCCCGGCCGCCGCCTGCCAGAGCGCAGCGTCCCGTTGGCGTGCAGAGGGCGGGTTGTGCCCTGCTACTCAGAGGGCACGGGCAGAGCTGATGTTCGGCAGCGTCCCGATGCGGTTCTTGGCGACCCCACAGCCTGAGTCAGGGCCCCCCTCCCGGCTCGGCAGGACGTGCGCCGGGTGCCAAATTGTAGTTGATGTATTTGTGTACTTCGCAATGAGTAAGTATAGCAGGCCTGGGTATTTATTCAGAGCCCTTTCTCTCACCGAAATCTAAAACGCAGCTCCTTGATTCCAGGGGCAAAGATTAAGGTATTCCTTCTAAGAGTTCCCTTGGTTGGGCCCAGGCTCTGCTGGGGGAGGTGAAGTCGGAAAGCTGCCTGCTGGGTCTTGTTAGCTCACGTGTGCGTCACCCTTCCCAAAACCTCATCTAAGTTAGAATGGGAACAGGCTGGTGGGTATCTACAGAAAAAGAGCAGCCGGTTGTATGGGGAAGAGAGTCCTTGGTGCACAGTCTGACTTTTACTGGTGGTGTGCAGCAGAGAGCCTGCGCTACCCTCTGAGACAAGCACTATTAAATTAAATCAAAGCAGTTGTGTTCTGCCGTAGCCACCTGATGAGATCAGTGAAGGCACCATCTGGGCCTTAAGACTTAATTTGTATTTGTGAATATATCTAAATTGAAGACAGAGCGTGGTCTATTTTACAGTAAGGGTTATGTGATGGGATGACAGCAAGGATTGCAGATTACACTTGGCGTGTCACTTCTCATCCAGGCTTCTGAATGTATTCACTTCCATACTTTGCTTAAACCTTTGTGAATTATTTTGGAATCCTTTTCTATTTTTGATGGAAGCAAAAGGAGGTGCTCCTTCAAATGAAAAGGTGATGTTTTGCATAGCTAGGAAGAGGGTTTCCTTGTAGGTAAAAAGATGTAATGGGGCTGTGAAACTTGTTTGGAAAGGCACTGAGGCCAAGGAGTAGTCCTGGACCGTCTTGTCTGTCTTCCATCAAATGTGTGTTAAATGTCAGCAGTTTTCCCGAGACACGTAAACGTGGTGGAGGTGATCTCATCTGTGGAATTGCAACTGGGACAGGCAGTGCTTACTCGTTTTAAACAATGCTGGCCTGTGAAACACTGTTCTGTTCTCTCATGAGCTGGTGTTAAACCTGAAATCCTGACTCAGAGCTTCAAAAGTCATGAATGCAGATGTACTTGAGGGTGGAGGAGGGGAGGACATGGAGGAGGAGATTACCATAAGCCTGTCTCCTGTAGACCTCTTATCCCTTCCTGTCATCGGCAGAGTGCATGGGAAACTGCTCTTCCTGCCTGACCAGCACCAGTGAACGACTTTCGTTCTGGGCTTGTGCTGTTACTTACTGTACAGGCTGCTGGGTTGAACTGTTCTTGTGATTTGGTGATTGAGTCAAACTTCCAAGTTTATCATCCCTGTTACATTGGTTTCTGTTTTCCTGATGGTTGTAGGTATATTTTGTGGTAGGAATGATTTCTTATGGTATTTCTCTTGTTCTAAATGCCATTTAGATCAATGTCATGGATATTTATTTCCATTAAAAACACCTTCAAAAATAAAAGTTCTTAAAAAGCCCCCACAAAACAAAACAAAAACCCCACAAAGTACCAAACCTCCCAGCTTTAAAAAATGGGGTTCGTATTGTAAAGCTGTTGTCAGCATCTTTTAGTATCTGATGTGATAATTACCGAATTAGAGCTCCCAAATAGCATTTCAAAACCACTGGAAGTAGAATTTGTGGAAGTGAATCAACACTGATATTTGGACTCAAACACCTGGAAACAAACCCAGATGTGAAGCCAACTATAAACCTATTGGATCTGCTGATCCATTTGACCAACATGCAGTGCATTTACTGTGGTGATTGCAAATCTGAATTGTTGAGGATACTTTTTCCAAAAATCCACCGTTGTGCCATCCATTACTGCAGTTCTGCTGAGTGTTCTGGATAAAAGGGATGTGGGGTTTTGGAATATGATGAGCAGGACTGGAGGACTGCCTCCCCTCTTGCTTGTTCATGGAATCACAGAATGGTTTGAGTTGGAAGGGACCTTAAAGCTCATCTAGTTCAAACCCCTGCCACAGTCAGAGACACCCTCCACTAGACCCAAGTTGCTCCAAGCCCCGTCCAACCTGGCCTTGAGCACTGCCAGGGATGGGGTAGCCACAGCTTCTCTGGACAAACCTGTGCCAGGGTCTCACCACCTTCACAGGGAAGGATTTTTTCCAAACACCCAATTTAAAGCTACCCTTTTTCAATTTAAAGCCATTCCCCCTTGTCTGATCGCTTTATGCCCATGTAGAAAGTCCCTCTCCAGGTTTCTTGTAGGCCCCCTTTAGGTACTGGAAACTGCTCTAAGGTTTTCCCCTGAGCAAGGTTTTCAGGTTGAACAAGCCCAGCTCTCTCAGCCTGTCTTCAGGGCAGAGGTGCTCCAGCCTGTGGAGCATCTTTGTGATCCTCTTGCCCACTTGCTCCAACAGCTCCATGTCCTTCTTATGTTGTTGCCCCCAGAGCTGGATGCAGGAGTGCAGGGCAGGGGGATTCTCATGAGAGCAGAGCAGATTGGGGAGAATCGCTTCCCTTGACCTGCTGGCCATGCTGCTTGGGCATGTATCCCAGATCAGGGTTGGTTTCTGGGCTGCAAGAGCACATGGCCAGCTCATGTTGAGCTTCTCAACCACTGTCTGATCTGATTTTGCCAGTAGGACCCGTTGTGTGATGGGAATCTCACATGCAGCACGAGTGTTTGGGATCCACTGCTCATTTTCCTTGCAAGGTCCCACTGCTCCCTGCTTCACTCCCAGAGCCACCAACCCCTCTCTCTTAGCCTTGGACATGCTTTTATGTTGGATCTGTAGTACCAGGGACCTTGCTACTGCAGGAGTGCACGGCTGTTCTGACTGCTGGGAGCAGAAAGGGGTGGAACAGGCACAGCACAACCAGGTGTCACAGAGGACAAAAGGAGTATGGCAGATACTAAAGCAGTCTGGTAGAACTCATGTCTTTCCTTTTTTGCTATGAGCAAATTGGATGTTGTTATTAACTACTCATAAAACAGACAATTTGAGAAACAGTGAAGAGAAATGGAAGTTGGAAACTGCTGCCACACTTAAACTGCTTTTGGTAAAGGCTCTGTCGGGGTGGTCTGAGTTCAATGCATTGGCATTTTTTGCTCAGGTGAACTCCTGGGATCATTTCCTTGTCTTTGTTTCAGCCCAAATCAGGTTTGAAGCTGACAGTTTTCATTCTTACACTCCTTATTGTGTTCTGTCAAGTCTGGAGGAGAAAAATTGTAGCTTCCACTTACATCATCACTAAAACTAACCTGAGACTTAATCGCCTTTATTTTAATTTTCATGATCTTGAATTCTTTAACTGCAAATAATACTCTGCATACACAACTTCTTTAGTGACAGCTTTTATCAAGGCTTTGGTATTGTTTTCAGGTATATGTCACAAGGAAAACATGCAGAAGCAAGAGAACTAATGTATTCAGGGGCTTTGCTGTTCTTCAGCCATAACCAGGTAAGTCATAACTGGTTTTGTTTGTGTGATTTGGGGCAGGCGGGGGTGTTATTCCAAGATTGTGAGGGGTGAATGGTGAATTCTCAGTGGTAGATGTTTGGGGTGATTGCTTTGTAATCTTTTTAGTTTATCTTTGGTTGAGTCTTTCTGCACAAAGAAGGATTATGCCAAACTGGAACATAAAGCAGATGAAGTGTGTGTGCATCCAAACAGTAATCGTAACCACATTAGTTTTGCTTTCCTGCAAGCTTCTCTTTTGATGACATCAACTCACTATAATTTTGTTACAGGGCAAGGTTGAGACTTCATACTGTGCCTTAGCTGTAGATGTTGATAAAAAGTGTTATATCTGCTTGTGACAAAATTCTGGTTTTCTTCTATGTACCAGTATGTTCATCACTACTCCTATGTGTCTGTTTTGTAGCAAAACAGTGCTGCTGATCTGTCCATGCTGGTTTTAGAGTCTTTGGAGAAATCGGATGCAAAAGTAGCAGATGACCTTTTAGGTGAGGTGACCTTTGTGCTCGGGTTTGATGATGTTTAGATGTGCTTTCACTTCACAGTGACTGTTGTTAACAGTTTTGAAACCCCAAATCCTTTTTGTATGCCCTGCCACATGGCTAAGGGTTACCTTAATCAAGGGGGGAGAACTTCATTAGGGAATAATGGATTCCCAGTACCTTTGTGGACATGCTCAGAACAAACGTTACTGTCTTGTGGCATTGTTCTTTCATTAATGCAGCAGTACCGTATTGTCTGCACAGTCACTCGTGTCACCAGGGCTTTGGTGGATGGTGATTTCCCACCCTAGCAGTGTAGTAGTGTGCTCATTATTTGTGACTCAGCTGCTCACAAGGGCATTTTTCTTCTTTAATTGTGGGATTTGGTAAGCAGCAACTCAGGGAGACCTTCTTAAGGGCTGTCTGGCCAGATGACTGCTGCAGCATGGGCAAGCTGCTCCTATTGATGGAACCCAGCAGACAGAGGCCATTCTTTGTTTACTTAGATCAGCTCTGACTTTCTGTATCCCATCCATGTCTTCTGGTGGTGCTTTTCCAAACTACAGCTCTCACAGCTTCCCTGTGAATGGCAAGCAGTCCCATAACCTGGAGTATTTCCTCCTCCTTGGAGCTGCATGGTATGCTCAGGAATATCCTGAAGGACCATGGTCCATCATCCTGAAGGTCCCACATGAAGAGAGGCTGTCCCCAGCTGTGACTGCAAGGCTCAGCTTTTGGCTGACTTGTCAATTGACAGTCATGTCAGTATTGCTGGCTGATAGATGCAGGATTGACTGGATGTATGAGAAGTGGCTCAAGTTTTGGGTCTCTCTTTTTAAGTTGGCTTTTGGAGGCTCTTAAGGGAGCTTAAAGTCACAGCACTGGAACTTAAATGTTGTGTCTTAAAGATGCATTAAAGGCAGCAGTTCATCCTATTTCTATCAATAGTAAATACTTGTGAACATTATTGTTTCCAGAAAACCTGGCTAAATTGTTCAGCTTAATGGATCCAAATTCTCCTGAAAGAGTGGCTTTTGTGTCCAGAGCACTAAAGTGGTCTAGTGGGGGATCGGGAAAACTTGGACACCCAAAACTGCACCAGTTGCTAGCAATTACCCTGTGGAAAGGTAAGAAAAATCAGCTGGCTGTTCTGTGTTTTGTTTTGAAAATACTGCAAGTGTGACACTCTAAGAGATCTACTTTGGAAATAATCTAAGGAAGCCGAGATGGAAATGACTGATTGAGTTCTGCTGTTACCTGATTTTAGCAGTAAATTTAGCATAATGTTGCTAACAGAAAAAAATCTGGGGCTGTGCAAAACCACAACTGCAGTAATGCTCTCTGTCAAAAGAAGGCTGATCCTTTAGACAGTGAGGTAGTTGAGTTATTAGGAGGAAGATTTTTGGGGAGCAAAGCTGTTTTGTTGTGGGTTTTTTATATTCATTTTGTTTTTAAATCCTGGGTAAACATGAAAAAGACTGAAATACATCACCTACCATCCAAACCAGTCTTTGGATCTGCAGTTAAGTACTTTCTGAGATGTTGAGCAGCAGGCTTATTCCATGTTGTCTTTGATTTATGTGGGATTTTATTACTTGGGATGTAAGATAAACCAAAAATACACTACATAATTATTGTCATTATGGATGGTAGCCAGTTTTTAAAGTCTTACATAACCAAAGGTGAGTGAGAACAGTTGAATAAATGCCATCTTTTTCTGTGGTTTCTTGTGAATTAGTAACTGTGCAGGATGATTGTTTAGCTTATATTTTTTAGTAGCTATGAAGTGATTATGGCGGTTTAATATAACGATCCTGACTCAGTGGTCAGCATTCCAGCTCATTGCCTTTTTGTGTGCCACAGGCAATTCCACAACTCTTCTCATGGGACTTTCAGCTTGATGGCTGCTACCAGCCACAAGGGGAGGATTTTCCTCAGAGCATTTAAGTTAGAGGCTGAGATATGATTAGGGTAAGAAACAGTTGCATTCTGAAAGCAAAACTCCCCGTTTTGCAGCCATATGCTCACTGTTCTTTTGAAGAGCAAAACATGCATGTTTTTCTTAGCCTGTAGGTTTTGAGAGTCCATCAGAAAAGGCTCACGTTTTAAAACAAAGCTTTTAAATCCCTAAAATTAGCAGCTATCCAGTTTTGTCATTGCGGTGATTTTTTATGGTGCTTTGCTTCAAGTTAAGCTCTGACAAGCCATTGCCATTTCTTACACCCTTTTTTTCCTGTGTAACTGCTGTTCTATTCAGAATATGAAAGCAATTTTAATTTTAATAGCAAGAGTAGGCTAAACTAGAAATAGGAAATGCCTTCATTCTGTGCACTTGGAAGGACACTGAAGATGCTGTTTGACTTCTTGGTGCACATAGTTTAATATGGAACTTCTTGATTATTTTTTTTTTCCTCAGCACTGATGATAGCACATGAAGTGTCAACATGCAGTGAGATAAAATATGACTGCAAGCTGATTGTCCCAGTGGTGGCTGTGTTTTGGTTGGCATTGAATAAACTGTATTTAGTAATATTTGTTCAACTGTATTTAGAATAACATTTATTATTTCCCTTCATAAATTGTCTGTTAACTTATAAAGTAAAAAGCTCACTCTCTTTTTTGCGAGGCTTGTTTATATACCATGTGTGTAACTCTTGTCCTTTTACCAGCTGTAGTGTACAAGCCTAACAAATTTGGTTTTATGTCCAGGTATGATGAACTGATTTCTTAAAAGCATTTTTCTTTTTCCTTTTGTAGAGCAAAACTACAGTGAATCTCGGTATCACTTTTTGCACTCCACAGATGGTGAAGGATGTGCAAATATGCTAGTAGAATACTCCTCATCCAGGGGATATCGCAGTGAGGTCGACATGTTTGTAGCACAGGCAGTACTACAGTAGGTGTTAAACTTCTTATTAACTATTTTGCATAGATGACACTGTGTTTGAGGCCAGTCTAATTTACTCATAACTGTAGGCTAACCCTTTCACAAGAACCTGTCAAATTGGCCAGAGCTTCTGAAACTCATTTTGTGTGATAACTACAAGAGAATCATCTCAAAACCGATACGTTGAATTTGTCAGACTGGGGAGAGAAAAAAAGCCCGAAACAACTCTAACTCAAACCCAAACAAAAATATATTAAGGTCGAAACCTGACATCATATTAATTACCTGAAGAATTAATGTAATCTGTTTGACCCTGAAAGCACAATTCTTAGCTTTGTTAACAACACTTTAATTAGGGCTTACCTTGATGTTCTTACTAAAACTGGACCGAAGTAGGCTCTATATTTACCCTTTGTATAGTACTTGTTCTCAGTCCCATTGTCCTAGAAAATAATTTGTCTTGGATCACCCTAGTCTGTGGCTTGCATTTATTTTAGGCAATTATTTTGTAGGAGGTGGGAATTCAAGTTATGATGTGCCTTTGCAGAGCTCATGTACAGTTAAGGTTAACAAAGCCAGTTTTACTGTGTTGAATCAGCTGATGGCTTTCTCAGTCAGGAAAAGCAGCTCATGGAGGAGTCTGAGGAGGAGGTGAAGACAGGACTGTGCAGCAGGGAATCAGGAGGAGAGTAGGTGTTGGGGGAGAGGGAGGAGGTGAGAGCACGTCTGTCTCTCTTTTGGCAGCAGTGAGCTGTCATGTCAGATTGTCCTGTTTTCCATAGCTGACTGATAAAGATTGCAGCAATTTTGAGAGGTAGAAGATCCTTTATGGAAATCCAGTGTATGCAGGGCTCTTACACAATTTTATCAGTCTTTGTTCTGGAGTGGGGGAAATTGGGGGGAGAAGTTACAAGTAAGAAATTATTTTTCCAGTATTTATACAGCACTGTTACTGCATCCTTTACTGGCCTGTATCTCAACCACTGTACTAAATCCTCTTACATAGCAGTTTATACTCTTAATGAAATTAATAGCAGTTCCCTGCTCAGCAGTAAGGCAAAAGAGCCCAATGCCCTTCAACCTGTGAGGGTCCAGTCTTGAGAGCAAAAATGAGACTGCTTGTGGGATCTTTCCCAGTGCTTGCAGACAGCGTGTCCCAGATAAAGTCTCTTGTTAGGCCTATGGGACTTGCAGAGATTGCCAGTTAAATGAACTGGACCTGAACAAAGATTTGGGAACAAAGTGTGGGGAAATTGATCCATTCACTGGTGACAGATGGCTTGGGAGCTCAAAGTGTAGCTTTATTGTGAGACTTTGTGTGTCAAACTTACTAGCAATCTTGGTGCCATGGTATTTTGAGCTAGTTCTAGTAGAATGGCAGGAGTAATTGGACACTGGCAGATACATACTGAAAGGAGATGTGTTCAGGAGGAGATGGGGCCAGGAGGGATGTCTTTAATTGGGTTTTACCTCAGCACAGTAAATATGATACACACTGGTATCATATTTAATTTGAATTACAGTGGCCAGTATTTCCACATTTTTATTTAACTGATGCCCTCTTTTAGTAACTGCCTTGTATGCAACCTGCTTAGATCTTGGTTAAAGTAATTCTGTTAATCAGCTCTGCCTCCAAACCTGCTTATTCCACAATGTATTCTAGTAGTGATTTCCCCCTTCCTCAGTTGATAGCCAAACTATTGCCAAAGATGTGTATCTCTACCAGTTAGTTTTTGCCATCGGTTTAAGCCTGAGATGGTTTCTGTGCATAAATGAAATAGAGCTTGTTGAGCATTTGGCTTCCCTTTTAATTTCTTCATGTGAAACTACTTCTCTGCCTTTTAACTTGCTGTGTTCTGTTTCCTTTTGCAGATTTCTCTGCTTAAAAAATAAGACCAGCGCATCAGTTGTTTTTACGACATACACGCAGAAACATCCTTCAATAGAAAAGGGTCCTCCCTTTGTTCAACCACTGCTAAACTTCATCTGGTTTCTGTTACTGGCAGTTGATGGGTACAGTCTGATTTTTCTCATGTTGCTCTTGGTTTCCTTTCAAGTTGTTACTGAGATTACATATTTTGTTGTTTCATTTCTAGAGGAAAACTAACAGTATTTACAGTATTATGTGAACAGTATCAACCTTCACTGAAGAGAGATCCCATGTATAATGAGGTGAGTTACTCATAAAGATCCCACCTCGGAATTAGTTAAGTAACAGCTGTTTGTGACTTGTAGGTAGGGTTCAGTGATCTAGCTTGTGTGGTGTGACTGCTCCCCATAGTATTTTAACCTGTAAACAAAGTAGCTGACATTGTTCTTCATCTTGTGTCGTTTCAGTACCTAGATAGAATAGGACAGCTTTTCTTTGGTGTTCCGCCCAAGCAGACATCGTCCTACGGAGGGTTACTAGGTAAGGTTTATACTGACAGTTGTTTATAGATATCACCAGGATTTTCGTTATCTTTGAGAAGGGGAGAAGCATGTAAAAGACTCTCATGTTTAATTTTTGACATTACACTACAAATTCCAAATGCAGAGAAAAATCTTATTTGTGTTAAAGCTTCATTTCCTCAGACTTAAGTGGCTCATTTTGCTTAAGTTGAATCTGGGACTTTGGTAGAGATCTAACCAGTGCTGATATAAAAAGAATGTTCTCAGAGTAGAAGTTCTGAAATTTATACTGCACCTTCTACTAGAAATGAAAGGGAACAGGAAATGAGGGCTGAATTTCTCTTGGTCTTGAATAAAATGTGAGCAAATTGAACTGGATTACTTTTGTAAAATCAAATGTTTTTCCTTGAGAACTAAGCTCTTCTGTTTGTAAACTGACTTGAGGCTTTACCTGTAAATGCCAGTTCACTGATACCCAAAGTTTGATGAAAAACATCATCATCATAGATCCCATATATAAATAGTGGCGTTTCAGCAATTCAAGCATTTTTAAATTGGATAAAACAGGGAGAACTCATAAATGTCTCTGACTTTCAAACAAGTTCTTTATAGCGTAATGCAGACCATTGCTGCTTTTTGAGAGTTTCACTGCTGGAGGTGTGACTTCCCTCATTTGGTTGTATTTCTTTTTCCTCCTGTCGGGGTGTAGCTGTAGTACGTATGAGACTTTGGTGTTTTTTTTCCAGTGTGCTCTCAGAGAGGATCAGTATCAAAATACAGCTTCCCAAATCAAAAAATTCTTAATGGAAACCAGTGTAGGAATACTAATGTCTTGCTGAGATGCCTTTATTTCAAAATCCCCCCTTCTGTTTTAATTTATCATTGAAATCTGCACCCTAGCAGGACCGAAGGAAAACAGTTAAAAGATTTTGGGATGAGAATGCAAAAGTAGCAAATTTTACTGTCCTGTATTTTATTCTAGGAAATCTTTTAAACAGTCTGATGGGAACTGGAGAAGATGATGACACAGAAGATGGTCAGGAAGACAGCAGTCCGATCGAGCTCGACTGAATGATGTTGTCACTGGGTGCCGTGTCACTCTGATGATTCGATGACTCCAAAGACAGTTTTGGAATTTGAATCCCGCAATTGTTTCTTGGCACCTAAAAGGGCTCCTTTGGTCTTTTAGAAATGGTTGCTGAAATGTTTATAATGTTTGGTCTATATTATTTATGTAAAAAAAAAAAAGAAAACAACAAAAAGTAGCCAAATGAACCAATTGGAGCAATTGTTAGCAGGCTTCTGATAACAGCAGCTGGTGACTGATTAAAATATAGTCTTCTACGGTTTCTGATGCAGTATTCCCTTTTGCACAGTAATTCAGTAAAGCATAAATATGGGTCTTGTATTTCATGGCCTATCCACTACCGTCTTTGTTATGAGAAAGCCTCCTTGACCTCTTGTCATCTCCAAGGATGATCTCAAAAGGAAAGGTGACCAATTGTATAATTTATGTGTGAGGCTGGTGCCAAAAGTACTGTGAGATGAGCCAAGGAGCATAATTTGAGATGCACAACCAAGAGACATTGATACCAAGAACTCACTTCTACTGCTGTGAGTAACATGCACGCCGTTCATACTGCCTTTCACTCTGGCTGACCCCATGCGTGTATTTAACCGATACTTTCCTGAAAAGCACAAGATTGAATTGTCCTTTAGTAAAAGCTGATCAGCTGAATGTAGGTAATTGGCTTCCATGAGGATCTCTCTTGCCTAGGTACAAAAATTTGGCATCTAGATGCCACCTCTGGCTCATGGCTCCTTTGGAACAGATTCTTTTTCAGCCTAAATTCACAACCATATGTAAAGGTGACAGCATTGTAGTGAATGAATTGATTTGTCACGAGCAAGGTATGTGTTTGAACTGCAGCTGTATGTTAAGAAAAGGGATACTGCAGAGCCTTTGGTTCTTTATGATATATTTATTTTTCTTGGGTGATTCATTCATTTAACACTTTCTGTAAGAAAAGAATAGATCAATAAATAATGGAGTAATTTCAGCCCCAGTGGTAGGCATAGCCATTCTACATCTTTTCCTCTTTAATGCAGCACAGCAGATGGCAGTACCATGAACAGATGAAATGATGGGGAAACGCTTTATTTTTTCATGATGAAAATAAAAAAAAGCTTAGATTAATAAACAGCAATCATGCATGGGGGAGGGATTAATACAAATCTATTGACTGTATGAAAAAAGAAAAGGCATTGAAAGGAAGACTTTGTGTTAATTGTGAGGTCTCAAATAAACACTTTATACCAGGATGGGCGATGTTGCTGCTTTCTAAGCGTCTTTGAGATGTTACTTTTCTTGCTGTTTTTTTCCCCTCTTCATGTAACTGTGGGTTCAGACCTTAGTGTTGCATCTTTACCTCTGTGCAGTAAAGACATTGCTTTAGTTTTAATTGGGTGTTGTAATGTCTAGAGCTGATGTGGATTGCTTTGATTCACAGCAAGGGCAGGACAGAACCCCTACCTGGGATGGTGCTATAGCCATTTAATAGTGTCCCACAACAACAGCCCCCTCCTGTGTCCTGCAGATACAGCTTGAGGTGAGTTCAGTGTTCATCACCTTGGCTGCCAGCAACACCCTGATTTGCACCTTGTGTGCACTCAGCTCAAACCGCAGCACCGCAGTACACTGTGCATCTGCTGCTGGGCATGGGCTGCGCCTGCAGTGTGCCCAGAGGCAGCTTCCTAGGGACAAAATACAGGTGCAGTAATTACAGTGGTGTGTACAGAACATACATGTGTGTTTAAAATATGTATTAAAATATATATACACACACATGTAAAATGTATATATACAAACATACAGTCTTCTGGGTATATAATAATTTATAATTAAATAATGGCATGGCATAGAACTTATTTATCATAGTAGTATTAATTATGTACACACACAATCTTTACAGCTAGCTAGAAACTCAGCTAGCCCAGCCTGTCCCCTCCCTGCTCCTCTCAGGCCTGGGGTTTTAAGTAACTGTCAGACTGTGACTTTTAGTATAAATCAAGTATCTATCTGTAGCTAAATATACACAAATGCAGGTGGATATGTGTATGTTTATATGCAATATATTTCTCTTTATAATTAAATATGTTATACCTATAGGAAAAGCATATACATGTATATTTATAATATATAATTAAACACTTAACTTTGCAGTTATAAACATGTCTATACACATACAGATGTATGTATAAAATACATTTAGCTTATACATTTGTAAATCACATGTCTAATGATGGCTACATATATACATGCACGTGCATATGAACTATATTCAGCTCATACACATAAAAGTGTATTATACATTATGCTATCTCTACTATCCACAGTTTAGTTGCTGTGAATATTCAGCAACTAATTCTGTATTCCTAAGAATATGGAAATAAATTTATTTCTATATTCCTATTATCCTATTTATTTATTCTATTGCTATTTATTAACTATCCACCTCTATATTCCTAATATATATCTTTTGTGCATGTGTGTGCATAAATATTATATATAAAACATATACAATATACACTCTATTACACACACATACACAAATACATATAACACGTTATATACATAAATGGTGTAATTTACATGAAATATATTTACCTGGTATAAACAGACACACGTGTGATGCAGCAGCTCCTCCTGGGGGATGAGGCAGTTTCGTGGGTGTCCCATGTCCCCAGCGTGCTGCCAGCACCATCACCTGCTTGTATTTTAACCCCACCTCCCTCCCCCTGCCCCAGCACCACAAGGCTACAGCTCTGACATAATAATTTATTGGTTCAAATGACATTTAGTACCACAGGTGTCTTACCAGTGACAGAACGAATGCATACAGCCGATGAGATGCTCTCATTTACACACACCAACCTAAGGAACGCGTGGGACAGGTCCGTATCTGGGGCTGGTACTTTCATTTTGGGGTAAAAAGCCAGCACATGGTGTGCAGGTCCCAGCCCGCCCGCCCTGACCACAGGAATTACAGTGCTCAACACCGCGCTGAAACGTCACTTCAAAGCAGCTTATATATCTTTTTTTTTGGTAGGGAAACTGATAAAATTAACAAAAATTGACGACAACAACAAAAAAATAAGAGAAAAGTGAGGGAATTACTGAAAGAAAAAGTGCAATCACCAGCCTGGAGTAGCAGCGTGCTGTGGGCTGGAGGGACTGGCCTATGGGACTGGGCTGGGACAGGCTCTTTACGGCGCCTGTCAGCAAAACTGCACCTACAGCTCAGCACCTCCCACTCCCCACTGGGCTCTTGGAATGGTGTGAACCCCCCCAGCCATGGAATGGGGATGGCATGGGGAGCAGAGCATGGGCCCTAACCCAAAAAGCTTTTCTTCCCTGGCATCATCTTGTGGCTTGGTGTCCCCCTCGCAGGGCTGGGGACAGCACTGCTCTGTCCACACTGGGCACCACTCCTCCTTCATTAAGCAGGTGACAAGGCCAATGATGCCAATTTCCTCTATTTCTAAATCCTGTTTGACCCTAAGCCTGGGTCCAGCATCACCACCACTCCCCAGGTGAGGTAATTTACTTATCATTTACCCTGATGCCGTCAGGAGGCTCAGCCATTTTGCACATCACCACTCTGGGTGTTTCCAGGTCGCTGCTTCACATCCCATGAGGATGCCCCTGCTCCTCCCCTACAAAGGAAGCTGGTGAGAGCTGGGGCTGTGAGGATGCTCAGCTCCAGCCCCCGGGCACCAGCTGGAGGGGAAAAGACCCATGTCCCCCCAGATGTGCCACCAACAGTCTTTGCTGCCCCGCTGAAGCGGGTGGGACTCCCCTTTCAGCAGGTGAGGGGTGCTGGGGTCACAGGACTACTTGTCCCAGCAGCGCATCCCATGGAGCGCTGGGCCACAGAGCTGAATTTTGGGTTGGATCAGCATCCGACATTTCACTGCCACCCTTCTTGGTTTCCAACATGATCAAGTGAATGATGAGGGGAAAGGGAAGTATTATTATTGTTATTACTGTTATTATTATTCGTTATCTTTAACATTTCAAATAAAACCACATTGTGTTGTAAACAGAAGCTCACTCCTCAGGTCTGCCCAGCCAGTCCCAGCTACGGTTTATGTTTGAAATGGGCTTCCACTGAAAGAAAAAAGAACAGAGAAAGTTAAAAGCAGGACAAATGCTGGCAAGTGGCCATAGTGCAATTGCAAGCCCTCCCTGTGGACGGTCCTTGTCTTGCTGATCCTCCTCGGCTTCAATTATCCTTATAACTGGGTGACTGATCAGCCATACAGCACCATGGCCATCATGCCTGAAGTGATGAAGGAGGATAGGATACCATCCTCCTCCTCCCAGAGCCCCTGTGGTTGGGCACACTTTGCATCCTCCCCTGGTGAGGAAGGGCTGCCCTGCGGTATCCCTGATCCCCCTCCATTCCTCCCATCCTCTAACACATGGGAAATAAAGGGGGGTCAAGGCTGATTTCAGCCCTGCCAGCAAGCACACCTGCGTATTCCTGAGGCAGCATCGGCCGGCTTATAACTTTCTGAAAGGTTGTAATCCACTCCAGCTGGTCATCCTCTGTCTCGCAGGCAAAGAGGAATTTCCGATCCGGGGTGACAATGGTTATCCCGTGCTGCCAGTGGTTTCCCTGCGTGGATGGTGGGAGCCCTTCCAGGACCTTGTAGCTGTTTTCCTTGCTCCCAATAAAAACTTCCCCTCTAGCAAAGGCATCCTAGGATACAGCAGAGCAGTCAGGCAGGCTTAACGGTGAAGGGGAGCTCTGCTTCCCCGGGCACCCTGCACCATCTAGAAGCTCCATCAGCAAAGTGCAGCAGCCAAGCACTGAAAGCACCAGCCACCCCACAAAGCTCTGCTCCAGCTCCTCCCAGGGCACTCACAAAGCAGGACCAACACCCGGGATCCAAACTCCAGCAAAACCTGCAGCTGGTGCACAGGGTTTCCAAAGTGGCTTTGGTGAGTATCTGTGCACAGAGCTGCTGCATGTTGATACCAGGCAGATCCACGTAGCAATGATGGCTCAGTGCCTGAGCTTCACTGCGGATTGTTATCTATCATTTATCATTATTGCCAATTCCCAACAGACAGCCCAGGAACCTTCACCTTACCAGGGGATCTTTGAAATACATGAGCCGTCGGTCATCCATGGTGAACCATCGCTTCTTGAATCCCTCTGTTTGCTGAAGGGTCAAAAAAAGGCAAGATTACATACCAAAGCAGCGCAGCTCCTCTCTTACCAGACATGATCCAGGAGTATCAATGTACTTGGAACCCAACGGGCTGGGAAACTGGAGAACAGGCAGCTTCTGGGCTACCATGAGCCACCAAAGCCACTTGGCCAGCTATAGCAGGTGGGGCTGCAGGAACAGGCAGTGAAAGGGAGAATGGGGATGGTGTGGTTGGTTTGTGAAGTGGTTTTGGATGTTTTCAATGTTTGCTCCCAAGTGCATTAACACATTCATGGCATTAAGGCTTCAACAAGGGTGTCTTTGTCCCACCAGAGCACCCATAAAGAGCAGGATTCATGCTTAGAGGGGCGGCAGGAATGTTTTATCCCCTACCTTTGGCCCTGTTTTCTCCATGTAGCCTTCCTTCAGGTAGTTTCTAGAGAGCTTTGGCACCAGCTGGAGGCAGACGAAGAGGAGAGAGAAGAGAGCAGCGTCAGATGGAGGAAGCTGAGGGTCCCGGGGTGGACAGGGGTCACTGGAAGGAAAGCCCCCCCCAAGCTCACGCATCAGCTCTGGCTGAACACTTCAGTCCCACCCCTCCAAAGTGCTCAGAAGAGATGGGTGCAGAAACACGACTCATCTTTGAGCACTCATCCAGCAAAGCCAGCAGCCTCCAGAAGAAGCCCCCAGTCCAAACCCCACTTCATGGGTCAGCTCTGGTGATAACATCTCCTCCACCAGATGCAGTGGTTGCCCTGAAGTATAATTTCCCTGTAAAACCCCATTAACACACACTGCCCGTGCACGCCCCATTCCTGCAGATACTGCTGACAACAGCTACCAGCACCAGGGATATTTTTAACGCTGCTTAGTGAAGACAAGGCAGTAGCTGCGAGATCTCAGCAGATGCCTCTAAAAGCCTCTTGAAAGATGACGAGTCTCACCAAAAACAGGGCCGATGAACCTGGCCATGTGCCTCCCCGCCCCTGCTCCTGCCTTTTATTTAAACAGGTTGAGCAGGTGTGTGCTTGTAAGGCCAAGACACCCCAAAATACATCCATCCAAAGAACACAAAGCTGTTCCGCAGCGGCTGGGAGCATCTT